TAATATACTACTGGTAGGTTTAACCAAGTGTCATAATTTACCTTTAATTTCTTGTCCTTGGCCATCCATTTAACTATCGCTGATTCTTGTTGTAGTGCTGTGTTGCTCACGAGATTTGACAGCGACATCGATGGACAGCATCGTGACACTTGTGACGTCAATGATGAAATAAAACTCCTGTAGACAAATGTGATAATTTTACTCATTTGCATCATTTATAAAGGAAAAAATGAAGCAAATTCAAGATGGGATATTTTTTTACGGTAATGTTTTATTTTCTTCTTCATCCTTTCCGTTTTCTTTCTTTCTTTCTTTCTTTCTTTTTTTAAAGTTTTACGTGTCAACTTGTCAAAATAGCCACGTGCCAAGTATATTAATGAATATCGCGTTATGGGGTTTGATTTGCCACGGTAAAACACCAATAGTCCCCTTGCATGTGACGTCAAAGCAGCTCAATCTGGGGGACAAAACAAAAGAATTCMAATMTCCTGAGAATTGAAACCTTATGTTTYGTTCCCCAGATTGAGCTGCTTTCCAAAGTGCTGCAAGAGGTCTATAACACAAAACTGCTAAATACAGCCAGTTGCGTCAAAAAAGAAATGTTTCAAGTCAAGCAATAACAGATTGTTCAATGATTAGCGCGCTTCCATCGATCGAGTTTTGGGTGCACGCAAGAAAGTGCTAATCATGAAAGAAAAGTAAGGTCTCACGAGGCGTACATAGTAAAACCGTAAAAAAATCTTTGTGGATCCCAAAAAGTTATACTTTTTTCTAACGAAATCTTCATTAAATAACACGCCCTACTCAATCATGTCAGCGTGCAACATCGAGTTTAGGATGCATGCTCGCGCTAGCTAAATGACTAATCACAGCGTGTTATATCTTGGCTACATTAATTGATGGTTTTCAAACATTCCCAAGAGAATCAAATAACAAAAAGACACGGCGGCCATGTTGGAGGATATAAAAATAAATAAATTCACAATTCTTTTGTTAAAGTCCTCCAACATGGCCGACGTGRAAACCATCAATATCATAATAATTGTTACGCTCCTATACCAAGGCATAATAAAAAGTAGTCGAATGTTAATGGGAGACGCACGTAGACTGTRATGCCCATTTTGAATACCTTGAAACTGCTTCATCTGCGAACGTAATGGTACARTGTTCCTTTTTGGATGCTACGGTAACTGACTGACAGTTCAGGCCGATCTATAATAARAGTAAAAAAAAGACGGTGCCCATTAATGTCCACGCGGTTCAACAACAAYGATATTGACGTCGTATCAAAGATTGGGGTAGACATTTTGAAAACAAAAATGTTTATATATGGTCAGACATAGATTAGCGCGCGAGATTCGAAATTCAATAGAAACKTCTTGAACTGGAAATTTGAATGTCACGGTTCGCTTAATGTTAGTCCCTGTGCATTCAAAATGGCGCCACAACAACAGGAGTTGAAGTATTTCAAYATAGTTTATAAATTTGTGGCTTTTGGTACATRRAAAGTTTACACTGTTCTTCCCACTGAGATTCAAAGTAATCTCTAATTTTCTAAGACATGGAGCTACACAGTTTTCATCCAATTTCGTGAGTAAGCTTACAGTTAAACATGGGATCGCAAAGCCTCGGGTTACAGTCTGTCGTTTCGCATTTTACATATCTGTAAAATGCGCCGGAAATGACGGTTTCGCATTTTAAAGATCTGTAAAATGCGAAATCCTCGTTTCGCATTTTATTGTGTCGTTTCGTTTCGTTTCGTGGTTTATGGTAAGCCTGAGAAATAATGGTGGATAATGATGTTGCTGAGGATGTTTGATGTTGACTGGTTGTTGTTCATGATGATGATGGTGAAGATAATGATGATACTTATGGTGGTGGTGGCGATGATGATAATGATGCTGCTGCTGCTGCTGCTGATGATGATGATGATAGTTAGGATGATAATGATGTGACGATGGTGTTGGTGATAATGATGGTGGTCGTGATAAGGTGGTCATGATGATGGGAAAGGTGGAGATGATGATTGCGATGATAGTAATGACAAACATGGTAGCGATGATGATGATATTGATGATGATAATAATCCTGAATGATCATGATCAATGATAATAATGATGTTACTGATATCGTGTTATTCCCTATGAGGAACATAAATAACGAACCTTGAAAAACTATTAAAAAACTATAAAAACTATACCTCAATTGATTTAATGTTTGCAAACTCTATAGCGACATCTGTATGAAAACTTGTCTCTTTTCTGAATGAAACTGTTTGGAAATAGAACAAACACTCTTCATGAGATAAGATAATATATAGACCCCTTGCATTAAATCCCTACCCGAGGGTCAAAACAATAGACCTCCTCGACTCGGCGTAATGTTTTCCCCATTTCAGACCACGTGTCATTCCCTTGAGAATAAGATTCTTTGTTTGAGTTGTATCAATATTCATGTGTCTTCTTATGTGCAACCGAGCAAAAGGGTTAAACAAAGAAACGATACTCTAGGGAATGACACGTGGTCTGAAATGGGAAAACATTAGGCCTGAGCCGAGGAGCTCTATTGAACATATTAACATCATTTCAATCCTCAAGAGAAGGGAATTCGTTTGTTTTGTAGCGGGAAACGAATGAAGATATCACAAACCTTTTCTTATCAAATACATAGCAAAATCTGTCAGCAATACATARGCACACAGTAACTGACCAAAGTGATGACCAGTGGAAGTACACAGCATCTAAGAAAGTAAACCAAAAGATACAAATCTTAATAAAGGGGCACTTCGATGAAAATGGATAAAGATTGGAAATGACTTGAAACTTGGTTAAACGTATCTATATGCCCCCAATAGTAGCCAAGCAACATACTTTCTTAACAGTAAAATGTAGCAGTTAAAAATTATCAGTTTTTTTCAGCATCTAAATTGTGAGTAAATGACGTCATTTACTCAGCCCTATTGTTCTTTTTGCTTTTAAMCCAAAACTTCTCATCTGCAAGTGACTCCCAGGCTAAAATTTTCACTAATTATGTTTACATAGTCATAATTGAGTCATATTATCCTCAAATACTTCAATTATTCGGACTTTCAAAAATTGGGGCGTTTTCATCCAAGTGCTCCTTTAAGATGACTCAAAATCTCTTGAGATATGAATAACGAAAAAGCCGTGTTGATTGAACTAATAAGAAAAGGACAGGTTCTCCGTTTTTTTCCCCTCCGATTCCAATTGGAATTTCAGTGGACAAAGAGGTGCTCTGTAAAAATGCCACTGTTGCATTTCATTATCGTTTATTATTATTTTATTGGGAAATGCTGGGAGAGAAGAGGGAAGGGGTGACCCTAGCACCCCCTACACCACCCCCGTCAGTGTCCCTTTTAAAAACAGCGAAAGTCTCTTACCCTGTGAAACTGTTCATCGCTATTTTTGAAAATCTCCAGTGATAACAGAAGAATAGTATTTGCATCAGTCCTATGAAAATAAGAGATTTCAATATACATTTTACCGTGGGGGTGATGTTTTTCCATCTCAGACCACGTGTGTCATTCCCTATTGTACCTTTTCTTTGTCTAACAGTTCCATTGCACAAGAGAAGACAAGTGAAAATGAATAGAACTCAAAGAAAGAATATTATTCTCAAGAGAATGACACGTGGTCTGAAATGGGACAGCAATGCGCCTAAGGTAACTTAGAGGTCTGTAAAGAGAAATATTTTGGATTTCAAGGATGCAAGAGTTATTTGCTGGTATTTCAGGAAATTACTCTTACCTTACATCRCAGGAATTTCCTGGGATATCTCGTAGACTTGGTCTCTTTGGTAGACCAAGRATTATTCCTGAAAAATAAATAAACATTGTAATAAGAAACAACAAGGGAAAAAGAAAAGAAGATAATAGACACGAGAGGAGAAGAGAAGGAAAAAGAAAAGAGGAGAGGGCCGGAGAGGAGACGAAAGGAGAGGAGAGGTGGTTTTTAAAGGAAGAGGAAAACGCAAGATAATTTGGTTGGAACGCAGGGATTTGGAAGTGGGAGAGTAGTAAGACAGAATGGGAGAAGAATGAGAGCCTTGTGAATGCAGAAAAAAATGGAATAAAGAAAAATGAAGATAACTGAAACACTAGCGAATAAAGAAAATACTAGGATTCAAAGGAAGTTAAGGAGAAAGTCTTAGAGAAAGAACGAGAGGGCACCAAAACTAAATAATGTATGCACAAATAGACCACTTCCATGTGACGTCGAAGGAGCTCAATTTCGAGGATAAAACAAAATAATTTAAAGCCCCTGAGAATTTGAAGCCTTTGTGTTATCTTCCAAATTGAGCTGCATTCCAACGTGCTGCAAGGGGTCTATTAACGTGTTAACACACAGACACATAGAGCGCATGCAGTAAAGCCATGAAATAAAACAAAGTTGATACTGACAAATACGTAGCACTATTTAGTGACTAATAGTTGCTAGCACTCAACCAGAACATTCATACAAAGACAAATACACGAGAGACCATTTGTGTCTTTTGTTTAATAAATGTTCTGGTTGAGTGCTGGCAACTATTAGTCACTAGATAGCTACTAATGGTCAGTATCAACTTTGCTTTTATTTCATGGTTTTACTGCATGCACTCTAGTAAAGGAATCACATCAATCACCTTCATATTCTGACGACGTAGTCACAGCATCTTCACTTCCAGTCTTTTCCTTCTGCTCAGCCTTTGGTTTCTCTTCATGTTCTTTCTCTTTCTTTATCAAATCAGTCTGTTCGTTTTTGCACTCTGTAACGACGGTATGAACAGCACTTTCGCTACTCAGATTATTCAGCGACCCAAAATCGGCATCACGGCAAAACTGGTCCAAAGAGTCCCCCGATACCACGCTACTGGCTGCGCTCTCCGAGTCGTTCCGATAATCCGAGAGGTAGGAAGACGTACGAGCATACAGCTTGGGAACGTCTAAACCTGAAGAAAATGTCAATATGTAATAAATGAAAATATGCTTTTAGTCAAAACTTTTCTGCGATGGCAGCCATGACAGGGGGCAGGAACAATTGAAGCTGGCCTATTCTCGACTTTCACATCCCCATAATGCCTTGCGTTTTGGGGGGTAACCAATCAAAAAACTGTCAAAAAATGGAAATGTTTCTTAATTGAATTTATACTATACCTGCTTTTATCTGTACAATACTGATTATCAGTTTATTCCAAGTTATTTTTGCGTGTACAGATCATAAAGAGTTTTGGTATTACAGAAAATGTATTTACTTACGAAAAAATGTTTAAAATTTACCATAAACGTCTTCAAGCTTCTATCTTTGTCTGTTTTTTACTTCTTCATTTTATCTTTGGATACCAAACAAGGTATTTTCAACATTGCCTGATCAGCCTTCAGCAAAATAAGTGGGTTTTTACCCTCAGGTTACCCCCCGAAGACGCAAGAGGATTRATGGTGATGTGAAAGTCGAGAATACTGATTGACGCAAGAAAGAATTCAGTTTCCCTGAGGAGAAAGACTCTATTATTGTGCCTCCTGTCATGGCTGCCATCACATGACGGTACAAAGCCTTTTATGAGTTCTTATACACGCCTAACCTTCATTATCTTCATCTTGTTCGTCATGTTCGTCTTTGTGATCCTCAGGAGAAGGATACTTGYGTGCTTTCTGCTCATCTTTCTCAGTTCGTTGAGGTCTTGGAYTTTTCCTCATTACTCGTCGAGTTTTTATATGTTCATGCTGAACAACAAGATCCATATCTTCCATTGAAATTTCCGACAAGTTACTTCCTAAACGAGTTCGGAAATCGMTCGAGAGATCTTCGTCCAATGAGGATAAATGAGGGTCCATGAGACCTAAAACTTTGGTTTCAGACTGGTCGCTGGCAACAGGTTTAGTTTTAGTCGACTGGTCGCTATCAGCAGGTTTAGTGCCAGTTGACTTATCGGTCCCAAYAGGTTTAGTATTTCCTGACTGGTTGGTTTGAACAGGTTTTCCGACAGCTCTCCAAAACGGTTTTGTAATCGTATCAAAATGTTTCGACGCCATATCTTTCGCTTGTTCTTTGTCGTGATACAAATCGTTAGCTTGATTAAATTCTACTTTTCTTAGTTCAAGGTCTACTTTAAAATTTTGCAACCCGTTTGCTTGAAATTCCTTGAAATTGTTTGACGTTTCGTTTCGGTCATGCAGCTCAAAGGTTTCTGTATCATTTGAATGTAAACATRTCGGGCTTGTTGGTGCATGTAGAGTTGACGAACTAGAAACACTGCTCGAAGTACTAACGCTGCTTTCTCTTGAATGACCTTGTTTTGAACCGTTCTTTACGACAGTACGAGGGCTACTGCTGCTCGCTTAATAGACACGACGGAAAACGAAGAATATAACAAATGAATAAAATGCAAAATGGAATGATAATATGATATTTTTTGAGTGGTAGCATAAATTTTTTGTCGTAGAATTTGTATCCTAGATACGCATTTTCATTCCTATCACAAAGCCTTGTAATGTTTCATCTATTTAAGGTTGTCAAAGGATGTCTATCTACCAATGTTTCAGCAAACTGAAACTTAATTGAATTCTGCCAAAATACACGGAATTTGTACAAGTATTCATCGAAGGATTTTTCGTGCCAGAAGCGGACTCAACCTGAGCATATTTTTTGGGGGAAAAAAACTCACGTTGACTAAAATATGAATTAACTTTTTACGGGTAAGTGAAAACTGATCTGTAGTACATTACAGCTATTTATTAGATATTTCTTTAAAATGTTAACGACACGCTTGATAAAAATGATATGCAAATCCCTCATCCGCTTAAAGGCTAAAAATAATTCTCAAGAAAGTTAACCAAGTCGCGGCAACATACTAGAATCGTAAATGTTTACTGCAGAGCAGAAGGTGAAAAGAACTACTTCCATTTTCTAACAGTACGGAGCCATTCGTATGAGATTATAATGCGTTCTGCTAGTTAACGTTTCTAGTTTTATAAAACAATATCTTATACTTTTGACTTGTAACTTATTCTTACCTTTGGTTAGTGGCGCTGGTAGACATCCATAACCAAGATAGGGAGAACTCTACGAATCAAATGGTGGGTTGTTAAAGACGCAGATTTACATGCAATAGCTCGAGCAAATAGATACTTGGGCTTTGCCAAGTTCGCTTGAATGACTTCGAAACAAAGGTGTTTTAAGTCGACTGTGATCTATTTTTACTCGAAAGCATTGTTGCGTGGCCCTTCAAGTTAAGTGCACTAGGAAAGGTTTGAAACAGAACAATAAACCACATAAAAGAAGGAAAAGGAAAGAAAAAAATGAAAGAAAAAAGAAAATGAGCAAACAGACATACAATAAATAAAAAAGTTAACAAACAGAATGCATAAAAAGCAGCTTCCAACAGCTTCTAGCTTCTTATGATGGGTTTGTACTGGCACTTTTCAGTGGTTCGGTCGTACACTACAGGTAGTTCAGACCCCCCCCCCCCTCCCCTTAAATCTACCCAGACAGATAGATAAATGAAAAGATAAACAAACAAAAGAAAAAAAAAATTCTCTTACCATATCTAGTGCAATAGGAACATAGTCAAGCCCAGACACCAATGTCAGAAGAATCACTAGTCTCTACGTGTAGGAAATAAAATTAATGGAAGGATGGATAAACTGAGAAAGCGATCAGTTTTTATTGAGAAATTAGTACTTTACATGTATTGTAATTGGCTGATTCATTTTTATTTTATTGGCATGGCTAACTCACAGATTGAACCCTGAAACAACCTCTGGGCTGATCAAATACTCCAGTTTTGAGTTCTCTTTGCTCAGCCTTAGTCTCGTTTGTGCGTTATAATATTCAGCTATTCAACCAAAACCTGTGGCATTTTAATCAAAACGTATTGTTTTGTAGTACGTACATTCCTTACTATACAGTGGAYATTAATAAAACAAAAGAACACATTTGTACACGATCGAGGCTAAGACTGAGCAAAGGYRAACTCGAAATGGGAGTATTCACAGACTGAATTGGGATTTCTGATGTGTTTTTGCAGAGGGAGGAAAACCAGAGAAAAACCCTAGATACCTATAGATACAAAGTCCCCTGTGTACATGAACATAATCACAAGCATCTTACCTCTTTGTCTCTAACAAATGCATCTCTGAGGAATAATTACAATACAAATAATTATTAATATCAAAACAACATTTAAATTATTTCTCTTTTGGTATAAATATTTTTCATTCCTAATTCCAATTGAAACTACTCACCACACAAAATTTCACCACAAATATTTTTCTTTTTCCTTTCCTTTCCTTTCCTTTCCTTTCCTTTCCTTTCCT